TAACAAATCTGAATGTGTAATTGATGTGCAGGATTTTTTTTTACACATTACAGAAACAGTAACTACATTATAGCAGGTGCAGAAATTTGGGCATCATTGCAGTGTCCCCTTTGGCAGAAATAACAGCTTCCAAAAATTTCCTCTACCTGGTTAAGAGTTTGTCTAATCTTGATTTCAAAACACTTTCCTCTGTCTTCCTTTTAGAACTCTTTCATCTCTGATTTATTTAGGATTGGGTTTTTTTTTTTTTTGCAAGTGTGAGATCTCCTGCAGATTTGCAGTAATATTCAGTTCTAGGATGATGAAAGATTCCCAGATCTTTACTTTTCTTTAAGTATTTTATCATTGATTTGAGGTTTATGTTTCAGATTGGATATTTCTGCAAGAAAACAAGCTTTTCTCACTGTTTCTTCACTTCGCAGTTTCTTCACTGACTATGGGACATTCGCTTCTAGATAATGTTGGTATTTAGATAATGCTGAATCTTTTTCCTTCCATTTGCACAATATTGCCTGTTCAACTGTCTTCCACAAAATCTGAAAGGATAACCCTTGTTAATAGTTGCTAAAGTATTCCCCTCGAAATGCTTCATCCTTTTATCTACAAATGGCCAGACAGTTCAGTTTTGATTTCATTAGTCCAAACTACTTTGTTCCAAAATGTTTTCTGACTTATCAATATCTTATTTTGCATATCTTAGTATTTGGGGATTATGTCAGAGGAAAGATTTCAAGCTGGCATCTTTCGTATACAGACACTGCAGTATACATAACATATAATGCACACCTGTGGATAACTACTACAGTGTCAGTTAAACTTTTTAGTAGATCATTTTCAATCATCTGTGAGTTCTGCTTCACCTATTGTACTAATGTTTGGACAATTCTAACAGACATTTTTTTCTTCTAGATATTCATACTACATCAAAAGTTTCATGAAACTTTGAATTCAAATGAAATTCCTAGTTGGAAGAGTTCAGAGATTTTAAAAATATCTTTCTCCTGATTTATAAGAATTATTTTCATTTTCAAAAGCTGTTTAGAGCAAGGATTGGTGAAGAACATAGAATGACTATCATGATCTGAGATGTCAGAAGAGTTCAATTTGCTAAATGCAAGCCTTAACAAAACCATACTTTTTTGTGCCTTATTATCAACATTAATTTTAGAACAAATACCTATAATGGAAGAATTGTGAAGCTGGCACAATTGGCAGAGATGATGAAGCTGACAGCTTTGATGGAAAAAGAAGACCGGCAAATTTTATTTTTACTTCAAACCCATTTTTGGAGTTTTCACAAGAAACTAAAAGAAATGAAAAGTTGACTTTGGGATCTGATGGTCAGAATTATATGGTATTATGGAAATAAAACATACAAATGCTAATCTTAGTTTGATGTATTTTTTATTTATATTTTGAACTCAAAAAAGTCAGAAGTCATTCCTTTTCTGTTTTTCTTTTTTCTGCCTTTTTTGCACTTTCCTTTATTATTCCCCAAGCCTTTTGGTTTTTTAAAATCTTTTTTCTGTTTCTGTTTTATCTTTGTCATTTTTTTTGAAAACCAATAAAGCTATGTAAATGTTAATATGTAACTAGTACTGAATGAATTGAAAGGCTCCAAAATTTTACACCTCAAATGTCTGAATATGTAAACAAGTATATTTAAATATTATGCATGCAAATTGCAGAAAATGTCATGTTTAACTTTATAAAATTATATCAACTTCTGTTCACTGAAACATACAATTTGATCAGAATGTCTACATTTTGTCTTGAAACTGTAATCTCACCAATTGCAAGTCAGCTGCTATCTATTGCTTGTCTCAATAGTAATTACAATTATCACCCAATTCTAAACACAAGAGTAACTGTTCCCAAACTCTGTATTCTTTACCTTTCAGTTAATGAGCCTTCTTTTATTCACAACCTTATTTTTACTATGGCTGAATTCATGCAATGAATTTAACTCTGAAGTATTGAATAAGCCCTAGCTAACCGGATTCATATAACAAACAAATCTAAAGTAAACAGCATTACAAATAAATGAATAAATATTCAAAGGCTTAGCATACTTAAAACCCTACTCACAAAGCATTTTCAGACACTCAATCCAGCAAAAGCTCTTCCTACTTCTCTGGCATCTTTACGCCACCCCCAACCCTCTTTCTTACCCATAATATATTCACAGAATTGCCTCTAGCTTCATAAAAGTTGCTTGCTATGACATATCTCATCCTATACAGAAATATTTTGATTTAGTAAACCTCACCACAGGATGTGAGATGAGGGGAATAGTCTTTCTCTTTCAAAATATCTGTCTACTTATCATTCTCTTAGCATTGTATACACAAATAATTGGAAACAGCAAGGCCTGACCAGAGTGGCACAGCAATTTTTTTTCCCTTTTAGAACTGTTTTTAGGTTCATTTCACAAGGGAACACTGTGGTGCTTTTCAGACACTTATACTAGTCCTAATTTACTTGCACACAGGACTGCATGAGAAGAGGATAAAATGTTCTCCTTACAGTCAGTTAATTGCTATGTCTTCAAATGGATATTTTGATCCCACTATTCAATGTTTCAGACTTGACACTTAAGCTACTCCTTTATGAATTGTCAGAGAACATAGGAAAAGGCAAACAAAAAAGTAATTAATCATGATTGTTAGGCAAAAAACAATACTCTAGTGAAAGACCTATTAAAATGCAGCAATTTACTTATCACACAGGTAAACAGGATTAAGTGCTTAGAGGGTTTTGAGAAAAGGCTACTGAATACCAATACTTTATTAGTAAGTTCAGCCATAATCGTAGATTCTGATAAAATACTCTTCTTAGATAATCCTCATGTTTATATCCCTTGATTGATAAATAAAATGTCTAATTCCTCTGGTGCTTCCATATTTGAAGTTTAAAATTTATGCTTGTTCCACATTTGTGCATAAAAAACCAAACAAATGGAAAAGCATCTGCTTGCTGCGTGGTATCAATGTGCATTGGAGTTACCTGTAGCTGTAAATTAATGTGTAAGAGAGGATGTAAATATTAGATCTATGCAATATATTCATGCATCTGTATTCAGTCTTCAAAAAAGCACTATGGAACACACAGGAGTGGGAATGTAGCATCTGTTTGTATAACAACTTTATGCAAATTCATTCTTTGGGATAGTTTCATATAGCTTTTTCAAACAACAAATGCTCAATTCAAAGTTTTTTATGTCATGACCTTCAACATTGTGTTCATTTGGTTATTATGCTACTATAACCATCAGCTGCCAGACCATAGCTGCAATATTACACTTTGTAAGGATGCTTCCTATAATCGGGACAAATTCTAAGCTTCACACTTCTTTTTAATAAAAAAGCAGGAACTTTCAACAGAATCCATGCACTGCTTCTCTGCTTACAGAATCTGAAGCAACACAAAACACAAATTGGGTTGTTTGAAAGCCAAGTTAATGTTATTGTTCAGCATGGTCTATCCTACTGTTCTACATACAGAAGCACATTGTCAGCCTTGGAAGCCATATTTTACTTAGAAGCTTCGAGGTTGCCACATTTTTGTGCCTGGGAATTTGGGAGGGGTATATAAGGATCACATGAAATTCCCAATAGCAAATTCCTTTTCCCTATTCTAATGTAATCCAAGATGGTGACAGAATTTCCAGGCAATTGAGACTGATGGGAAGGACTATGCCTTCCTTCATCTTCCTACTTGTTATTGTTGCAGGTACCTGTTTAAGAAAAGTGGTGGTTGCAAGCATTGGATGGCACCAGAAAGCCATGGGGTCTTTTAGCAAATTGCCAAGGCCATTCCCATAATATATTTTCTCCATAAAAAACTACTTTTTAAGCATACATATCAATTTGGTGTAGTGTTTAAGAAATCAGGAGGCTATGAATTCTAGTCCCATTTTAGGCATAAAAGTCACCCGGGTGGTTTTGAGCCAATCACTCTCTCTAAGCCCAACTAATCTCACAGGGTTCTTGTTGTGGGGGAAAATACGAAGAGGAAGGAGTATTATGTACAGTCTTACTTTTTGCAATCTTCCTTTATGGGCCTGATCTCCCCATAAAATTTAGAAATGTTTATAGTTCTTTGTAGTGTTTTAAAAGAAAATTCATGCTTAAAATATAAAACAGAAATTGCAGACTAGAGTTTTCAGCCCCACTGGGACACTTTGACACCTTCCAACAATTCCCATGATGTACCTACAGTTTTAATTGTGCCTTTGCTTTCCTGGCAGGTCTATGCTGAATTAAAAGGACATTCATACTGATGATATATGATGAGTTTCTAGTGGTAGAACTGATGTAAAAATGTGGAAGCTCCAGTATTAGAAATTAGACTTGTTTAGATACAAACCTAAGAATGCAATGTTTTTCCCCTTTCTACAATGATTTTCACAGGGAAAAGTGCCCCAATAGCATTCTTCTTCCTTCCCTGTAATCCCCAATTATAATTCAGAGAACAGGACAATTCAGAGATTTGAACTATCGATAACACGGGTGTCAAACTCACAGTGTCACGTTGCCATCACATGATGTTTTTTTCCCTTTGAAGCGCTGGGATGGGAGTGGCCTGCACATGACACATCCGGCCCCTGAGACACCAGTTTGACACCCCTGGTCTATAACATTTAATACTAAAACAAATCTTTCATCAAGTAGGTAACTGGGTTTGCCGTAATTTGCCATAATAAAATATTTAACCTGCCTGTCCTGAGCCAGAAACATTGGCTGGTGTATAAGCAGCATTATTAATTAACCTTATGCTAAAATTAACAGTGATGTGTAAGTCAACATTTCAAAATCCTGTATAAAAAACAGCGGCATAATTTTGCAGAAAATTAAACAACCAAAGTAAAATTGTTAGTCTGAATTTTATTAAATGTGAGTTACCAGTAACATTAAATGCTGCAGACATAATTTTGCAGTGAAATGAAATGGAAAACTAAAAGGAGAGTTGGGAATTTAAAAAAGTTTTTTTTACTGTACCTGGATCAATCTATCTGCCAAGGCAGCACTCTCCTACAGACCCAGAAGAGGAGATCCAGACAAGGAAAGATGAATAAAAGGAAAAAAAGATACAACAGCAGGGTCACAAGAGCACAGAGGAAAAAAGATAAAGAGCCCAAAAGACCCCAAGAAAAGGAACTTCCAAAACTGTCTTAAATTTGCACCATGTCATTTCCATCATGCAGATCATAAGAAGGTTCATGTGCATAAGGAATGACAGATAACAGAACTCCCAGAAGCAGCTTCACATATTAATTTGCCCCAACACCGCAAGAACTATCAGGATTCATAATTTGCCTACTTCACCAATGGACAAGGATCTCATTGCATTTCATAAGTCACACTTCCTTTGTCCAGAAATTTGAAGAAGTAACAAGGACACTTTAAGGTGGCTATGACTTTGTTGGGCAATTAACCAAGATGTCCTCAAGTTAACTATTAGCATATTTATTCTACAATAAAATACATCCAAGGAGTTTTTACATTTTTCATGAAAGCGTTTAATATTTAAACACAAAAACAAGATCAGTGTAAGAATATGATACAAGACAGCTGAAAAACAATCATATCAACCACAAGACAAATAAATTACTTTGGGTCCAAAATATGTGAGTTGACCATTTTGATCAAAATTTTTGGGATGGGCAGAGAAACTACATCTAACATCTTTACAGATTATTTTTCTATCTTAAGGAATCCTGGCAAGCAGATCACTTTTTAATTATTCCCAGTAGTGATAGGGTGAGAAATACTCTCTTGGGTGCTTACATTAAGAATGATTCCAGAAATACATGTGCAGGGTAGTCCCTGAGAGGATGCACAAAGACTAATGGCTGGCATTCTGTGTATTGTCTACAGTCAACTGAGACAGAGAGCTGTGTAAGGCCTCATTTTTGGTGGCCAAGCTAGTCTGGAAGCGGAGGAAGTGGATTCTCATGCGGCTGGGTACACTTCTCACCTTCTCCAGGGTTTCAATTCGCTGTTTCAGAAGGCGGTTCTCAGTACGGAGCCTCTGCAAGCAAGATTAGAATCAGCATGTGCTCTGCTGTATGTATGAGCAGGAGCTTTTGTCAAGTGAAAGCCAGCATATCAAAATGTTATGCTGAAATGTTGACTACTGAACTAAAGCCAAGCATCATAAATAACCAGAAGAGGAAAAGTCATGCCACATACAGATTGATGGATCTAAAGTTCAAAAAAGGGAATTCTTTAATTTCACACATATTACCCCAACAAAAATAACGCTTAAAATACATGCCCACTATAAATAACAAAGCTACTAATCAAGATGTCCGGGATGAAACAAAGAGGAAATAATGTGATCTGAAAATTATTTAAGAAAGATTATTTTTTAGATAACACCGAGTATTACATATTACGCCAACCCTTCATTTTGATTACAGTATTGCAAGACATAGACAAGGGTCTTACCTTGATTTCAATCTGTTCTTCCATTTCCCGGTTTTTTATTGCAGTATATTCTTTCTCCAGTCTAGAAAATAGATAATAGGGTTCATTCTGCCATCAAACATAATATGGCGACAGAAAAAATATGGTAATGGGTGGGAAAATGCCCATTTTCTAATAATCTCAATTTTAAGATTATCACCTTTATTTGGAAAGTCAGCACGAAAACTGCAGATTGAGCATATTTTTCCCAACACATTTGGTGTTCAGTTTTTGTTCAGGGAAGTATGTCAAGATAGAAAGGATAACTGTGTTCTCTTTTATAGGTTGACCTGGAACACGAACATCGTGAACTGGTCCACCTCATGAGTTTTGCCTAAATCCTGTATTCTTTAGTATTTAAACTATATATGAGGAATAAAAATTGAAAACATACCGTTTCATTTTCTTAGGATTGTATTTGACTTGATAGGCCTTGAAGATCAGCTTATCAGGACAGCTGTCAAACTGATGAGGAATCACCTTCTGAAAATACTGCAGTAGACAATTCTCAAGTGAAAATGTATCAAAGTCATATGGTCTAATCATGAAATGTAATTTCTGACATTTTTATTAGACAGGTAATCCTCTACTTACAACCATTCATTTATAGTGAAGAAGTTACAATATCTCTTACAACCTATTTTCACACTTTCAACTGCTGCAGCATCCCCATAGTCAGTGAATAAAATTTGGGTCTTAGCAACTGACATGTATTTATGACAGTTGCACTGTGGTGGGGTCATGTGATTTGTAACCTTCCAAGCACTTCCTACAAGCAAAGTCAGCTAGGGGAGCCAAATTCACCTAATCATTGCCTGATTCACTAAACAAGGAAATGATTTTCTTAATAATTGTGGCAAGAAAGGTCATAAAATGGAGCCAAATTCACATAACAACTGCCTTGCTTGGCACGATAAATTTTGGGCTCAATTGTGGTTGTAAATCCAGGATTACCTCTTTTCTCAGCTGATTACATCGGACAACAGAGGAATGGTTAATCTCTGGAATGGTTCTTGTGAAAAGATTCTTCCAAATATGGCCCATTTGCATTAAACTAAAATTGAATGCACTGAATTCAAGTATTTAATGGTTGTGAATTAAAATTCAAGTCTAACACTGTGATAGGGGAGCTTTTAGAATGGAATAGGTACAGAGGTATTACTGACCACATTTATTATAGCTCATTAAAATATTCCAAGTCTGGATGCTTACATGAGCACAAATGCACAGAGAATAAGACATTTCAGAACAAAACTTTTTACTAGTTACAATCTTAAATCATGCCTACAGGAAAACTCCTAGCTTAAAGAAAACTTCTAGCGTATTGCTAAAACTTGCATAGAACACGTTTTGGCTAATGTATGGTGTGCTAATAAAGCCAGAGCCCGATATAATGCAGTGTTTTATCATACAAATTAGAGGTTATTTAGATGAAGATATTCTCAGCTATTAATGCAATAAAAATCATAAATCTTTTCTTTGCCTAAGTAAGTCTTCATACAATGCAGAAATGCTCAATACTCCAATTTCATAAATTAGGAAGAAATAGCTTAATTAGATTTCAGTTGTTTCTTCATTCTCTAATTCTATGTTGCAATGAATAAAACAGTTTACTGAAGTTGTATAATGAAAAAATAAATATACAATATTGTAGGAAGGGAAGGAAGGTGTCTTAGAAGTATTATATTTGCTTGAAGTAATTCTATATTTTTGAAGAAAAGCTTTCCCATAGAGATTAAATCTGACATATAAGACTAGATTTACCTCAAAGTGTTCGCCTGTTAAGCACAAACAAACCCATATGGCAATATCACAAATGGAAATGTTTTGCAGTTATTAACTTTATGGGCCTGGAGCTTTGAAATGTACTTGTTCAGTTTTGTAAGTTTCCAGTCATCTAGCTCAGGGATCCCCAATTCCTGAGGCAAAGATTGATACCAGTTCATGGTCCGTTAGGAACCAGGCTGCACTGCTGGAGGTGAGCAGCAAGCAAGCAAGCAAGCAAGCAAGCGAAGCTTCATCTGTATTTGCAGCCCCAGTATTTGCAGCCCCATCACCACTCAACTCCACCCTCAGCTCATTAGGCATTAGATTCTCATAGGAGCGCAAACCCTGCTGTAAACTGAACATCTGAGGGGTCTAGATTGTGCACTCTTCCTCCCCGCTCCCCCCAATCCCAGTCCGTGGAAAAATTGTCTTCTACGAAACTGGTTCCTGGTGCCAAAAAGATTGGGGTGTCAGCCCATAATACTTGCCACTAGGTAACCTCTCATCTTACTCTCAAATATCCACCCAAGTAGTGAGCTGTTTTTTTACAGCTGGGGAAATACATACCTCTGCTGCATTTCAGAAAAAGGAAATACTCATGGGTATTTCAAATATTCTATCAATTCTTTACAACTATTTTAAACGATGTAGAGACAATATTTGTTTACATTACCAGAATGACAGCATATTCACTATACAATCTCTCTTACATCTTTTTTTTTTTTTTACATACACATATTTGTTGATCCACTGGAATCCTCCCAGCCCCTTTGATCACACTAGGAGAGGCAGCTCGTCATCCCACCATTTTGGGGAGGTTATGGTGAGGTGGGTGGGTGGGGAAGAGACATGGAATCATAGTTGTTCTGTAGTTGGCCGGGCCCTCTGGATGGCCTCCCATGAGAAGGGCATTTAAGAGCTGACACCAGATGCGTTCTGAAATGTAGGTTTGTCTATATTGACTGTTGGGCTTTTTATATATTCAATTTGATTGTTACTGGGTTTTTTTTTATTATGAGCTGCCAAGAATTTGTCTATGATTGCAGTGGGATATAAATGAGTGGGTGCAGTGGGTGGGTGTGAAAAACAGATGCATGTATTTTATTGGAATATTCCTTCCTATACTTGATTTCATTCCCCAGAGGCTTAGATCTGCCCACTGAGTATTAGAGTCTCATGCTCTTCATTGACCAGTAGATCATCCCTGGGCAGCAAGAAGCAGTCAGGAGCCAGGAATCCTGTGAAGCTGCTCTTAGTAGATAGCAGTATATAGACCTTTGAAAGATACTTTGACAATATACCACTCCCATGAACTCCTAATTTAGCCAAGATAATTTTTTTGTTGTTGTAGCAAGAGTACTACTACAGGGAGACTACAAATACACTTCATTCTAAGCCATGGTTTGTTTTAACTGATTGGTGAAAGATGTGACTGAATTTTGAAAAAAAAAAAAAAGACTAGGTTAAAGCCACACAAATTGAATTATGGCTTGGCACAATGAGTGGGCTAAGCTTTCATGTTAGCCTATGAAAGGCAATGGAGAAACACTGTATATGATAAGCAATGTTGAAACCATCAGTGGGAGAGAACTCATGGCTCTCTCCCTATCTGCAACTCAGATAGGGATTCCCATATGATTCTCAGGAATCTCTGCTGGTATCTAGTATAGATAATCCTTGACTTGCAATTGTTCATTTAATGTTCAAAGTTATGATGGCCCCAGAAAAAACACTGATTTATACAACCTGTCCTCAGACTTATAATGGTCACACCACCTCCATGGTCATGTGATTGGAATTTGGGCACTTGGCCCTGGCTCAGTTTATGACCAGTTACTTCATCCTGCTATCAAATGATTGTGATTTGCAATCTTCTAGCTAGTTTCTGACAAAAAACATCAATTGGGAAAGCTGGGTTCAATTAACAACCATGGTAAAAATGGTAGTAAAATAAATTCGGATCCTAATTGTACTCCTAAGTCAAAGATTACTTATAGGCAGTTAATGGATGTTCTCAATATTTGGCATATTGATATACTGCCACAAAAAGATGGAAAAGGTATAAGAGACTTTTTCTAAATTGAAGGAGGAAAAAAACATACAGGGAGGAGGCAGATGAGTCATTACTTCTCCATCTCTCTTGCCATGGACATTCTGAAGGCCTCAGGCTGTAGTTCTGAAACTACTTTCTAGGTCTTCATAGCCAGAGATTAAAACAGCTGATTCTGCCTCATCAGATGCAAAAACATTGAACATCAGTTCAGAAAACAGCCAGGGCTTGGGTCTTTTAAGTTTTTCTTCTCTGAAAACTGACTTGAGTTTTTACACTTTGGAACCGTGGTTCTAAAAGGCCGACATTTAGCATATTATTGGAATCAGTTCTTTATCTCAAACTATCCTGAATCCTGTAATTCTCTTCATTCATACAAACCTAAATATGGAATTGCAGACAACTGAAAGTTTGTTGTATCAACACTGAACAATCCTTCTTCTAGTCCCACAATGCATGATAGAACTGACCTGAGACATCCCTTCCATGTCCAGTTGCATCAGTTCAGCTTGGTTGAATTGCAGAAGAGCCATTCCTACACGAAAGATTATTTCCAATCCCTAAAAGATGTTACAGAATTTAGACAGACTCCACCTGTATTTGAATTTCCTATGGTTTACAATAAAGGTCAAGCAGTCCTTCCTATGTGAAAAAATGCAATTTAAATTACAAAATAATGTAATGGGAATCTGATGCTTTAGTTCCCCCCCCCCCCCAACTCAACTATCCACTTGCATACACCATTTAAAATGTCTGTTTCTCCTTTAACCAAGTTATACCAAGAATTCTAAATTAAACATAACTGAGCAAATGTTTATGCAGCAACTTGTTTATTTACAGAAGCAAATATTCATTTATATCCCACCTTTATTATTTTATAAATAACTCAAAACCATGTGAGGCTTGTTGGGCTGGGACCAGCCCAAAGTCACCAAGCTGGTTTCACGCATAAGGTAGAACTAGAAATTACAATATTGCTAGAATGCTCTGTGACAAATCAATCTGAACTATTTATTCAGGTACAATTTTTGGAAATAGATTAGATGAATCCATGGACAATAAGAATAGAAATGATTATTACTATGATTATCTCCCTCCACTCCAACTAGATGCAGAAATAGAATTTTATTGCCAGGGTACAACAAGATAGAAAAGCTGTTGCCCCATATCCTATTTTTTCCTGTGCAAATATTAACTATCAAATCAGTTATGCAGACCACTCAATTTCTTCCCCTTCTGCATTTTTAATTACATGTTTTACCTCATACATGAAGATGTCAAATACTCGTGTGGCCACAGGTAGAGGAAAAGTAGTGAGGAAGAGTGTAAGAAACCAAGATGATGCATACATAGAGGTGAGAAAGCTTTGGGAGCGGAAGTGGATATTCAGCTCAGGTAGTTGTTCCTGACAGAAACATAAAATGTAAGTCTTAAATTATGACAAACTTCACTTAACATTAATTACTACATAGACATTAAGAAATTTCTCAGCAGGATTCTCAAAGTTAAAGTAATAAGATACAGCAACAAACATTGCTAATTATTTGCTACCCTAGTAAGCTCTAGTACTTCAGACTTCTGATAGATTTTAGGAATTCATCTAAAAAGAAAGCAGTGCATATTTAAAATCCAATATTTGGAAGTTTCTTTACCTGCAGCATATATTCAAACTGATAGATACAAAGTCCTAACTCGGCCATAGTGGGTTTGAATAATTCCCGTAGTCTATACTCTTGCATCAGCCGTACAAATACACAGAAGGCCTCCTCTTCTGGCATCTAGAAGCAGACAGTGCATGTGCATGAGTCTCTGTCAAACTTAATGAAGGACAAAAACCTTCTGTTCAGTGTGTAGCACACAAAGCCTAAATGGGTAGACTTATTTTACCAATTATGGATTCCACTTTTAAAAAGGGAAATAAATAAAAAAGACAAAATAAAACACAAGGAGAAAATTCAAATTCTCAAAAATTAATAAATAATAAAATGGATGCTTTTCATATAAGGGTTCTTTAACTGAGTCTGTGCTATGTCCTTTGAAACAGGGGTCCCTAACCCCTGGGCCATGGGCCTGCTGCTACCGAGCCTTGGCCTATTAGGAATTAGGCTGTGTGACTGACTGGCTGGCGTGCATATGGCTGGCTGGCAGGCACTTGTGGAAAGGATGCTGTCCTGCCGCTTGTACAAATTGAGCTGCGCATGTGCACGCTGGCCCACCACTCATGCAAGAGCTGTATGTGCACTTGCATGGCCCAGTTCCCCTCTCCACCTCCAAGCCTGGCCGCTTGGAGGTTTGGGGACTGCTGCTTTAAAAGAAAGCAGTTTATCAAAACTAACAAAACCGTTGCCTCCATTGTTCAGCTCCAATGTATAATAACTCAAGAAAACTTTTTAAAGCTATAAGATTATTTAATGTGAATGGTTTTGAAAATAAGCATAAATATACATTGGAATGTATTCAACATAATCACATATCTTAAATAGGATAGAGATTAAGAACGCAATATATGTGACTGTTTTTGTAATGTTTTTATTAATGCTACATTCAGGTTATATAATAATGTAATAATCACTCATTACAATCAATACAATGCTTTTAAGTCATTGTATTAAAATCAAGTGATTGATCTGACCTATTTACTGCAATGTTTACGCCATGTATTATGGTTGT